GCCTCGTCACCAAGTTCAGCACTGTGGAGGACTTCTGGGCGTGAGTGTCCCATGGTGGGGCAGTGAAGAGGCCCTGGTGGGGGGAGGTCTGGGCCAGAGGAGGGTGCTGGGTGTCCCTGGGGCATCTCTTCTCACCTGCTGCTTGTCTCTGCCCGGTGCAGGCTGTACAGCCACATCCAGCTCGCCAGCAAGCTCACCTCTGGCTGTGACTACTCCCTCTTCAAGGTGTGACACCTCCTCAGAGTCCCCTGCAGCACCCAGCATTATGGGGGCACACTGGGTGCCCGTGGGGCTGGCAGGGTGCCCTGACCTCCTCAGAGTCCCCTGCAGCACCCAGCATTATGGGGGCACACGGGGTGCCCGTGGGGCTGGCAGGGGGCCCTGGCCATAGAGCAGGAGGGGAAGCCTGGCTGGGTGCTTGCAGCTCCCCAAGCTGGCTCTGGCCGGGTGTTTGGTGCCCCTGACCATCCCCTGGCCTGTCCCCAGGATGGCATCGAGCCCATGTGGGAGGACAGCCAGAACAAGCGTGGCGGGCGCTGGCTCATCACCCTGGCGAAGCAGCAGCGGCACACTGAGCTGGACCGTTTCTGGCTGGAGACGGTGAGTGCGGCCTGCCTCGGGTGGGCCTTCAGGGTCCCGGCAGTGGTGTTTTTCACCTACCACAGCACTGAGCCCCAGCGGGGAATGTCCCGGGCTGCCCTTCTCCTTCCGGCAGCTGCTGTGCCTCATCGGGGAGATGTTTGACGAGTACAGCGATGAGGTGTGCGGTGCCGTCATCAACATCCGCGCCAAGGGGGACAAGATTGCCATCTGGACCCGGGAAGCGGAGAACCGGGAAGGGGTCACCCACATCGGGTAATGCAGCTTTGGCAGGGGGCTCTTTGGGGCCAGGTTTGGGGGGAATGGGGTCCCTGGGCAGGGAGCCAGTGGGAGAAGCGATGCTGCCCCGTTCACGCAGTCCCTTCCTTCCTCCAGGCGTGTCTATAAGGAGCACCTGGGCCTGTCGCAGAAGGTGGCCATCGGGTACCAGGCCCACGCGGACACGGCCACCAAGAGCGGCTCCCTCACCAAGACCAAGTTCGTGGTGTGACTGCAGGGGGAGTGGGGCGCTGCCCGCGGGGTCCCCCTGTCCCATCCCACAATGAATGTCTGCAGCTGAGCACAGTCCGTGTGTCCAGGGCTCTGAAACCCTGGGGTGTCTCATGCTTGGGGGGCCCTTCTGGGAGGGGGATGATGCGTTGCCATATCTTGTACCTGCCAACTGGGTGAGCGGGGCTAGGAGCACAGAGCTGGCATCACCTGGGCATCACTGTGGGCTTTGGGCACTGTGTGTGAGTCCCTGCCTCCCCCAGTGCCTGGGACCAGTGCCCCTCTCCCTGGGGCTTTGGGGGTGTCCCTCTGCTCCAGGGGACCCTGGATAGTCCCCAGGAGGATGCTGGGCTCTGTCCTCCCCTGGCCAAGGCATCGGCACAGCTCACTGCCCTATGAGCCTGGGTGTGGGAGGGGGTACCAGCACCCAGCTCCTCTGGGTCTCCCAAGCCTGGGGAGTTGGTCCCCATCTCTCCCAAGCCCCTGCACATCGGTGGGACACAACTCTGCCTTCTCAGGAAGACCAGCTCCCCAGCTGAGGACTGCCCAGCATCCCCGCAGGGTCGGCACTGGGGCTGCGGCACAGTATCGTCCCCATGCTGCCCACCTCGAGCTGTTTGCTCACCCCCCCCCTCCCATGGGCACCTGCAGCACAGCTGCAATGAAGTTTATTTGCTTCCCAAGGGTTTATTGGTGCCAAACCTGCAGGTTCACAGCCCCAGTCCATTCAGCCCTGGGCTTTTGCTGGCTCCTCCTTTCCATGGCCCATGTCCTCTGCTGTCCCTCCTGGCTGTCCCAGCCCTGGCTGCAGAGGGGGCTCCCTTAGTCCCCCACCTGCTCTAGCCCAGCCCATGCCAAATACCTCTTATTTGTGTTTTTGATTGTTGGGTCTGTCCTTCCCCCCCCGGTCTCTGCTATTGCAGTGGGTTGAGGCATGTCCAGCCACAGCTCTGCCGTGGCACCCTGGGCCCTTGGATGCCTGAGGTGCAACCCTGCGGGGTTTGCTGGCACGTGCTGAGCCCTGCCCTGCCCTGGGCCACTGCCGTGGCTGCACAGAGCTTGGCCCTGGGCCTCAGCTGCCCTTCTCCAGGGCAACCAGCCTGGCAGCTCCCCTGGGGCAGCTGTGCCGGGGCGCTGCCTGCAGCCTGCCTGCCCTTCACCACCCCCCAGTGCCCCCTGTGCCAGGCGCAGGGGTGTGAGAGATGCTGCCGGAGAGGGGAGGTGGGAGCCCGTCCCCGGCATGCA